CAAGCCCGTAATGGGTTAATCAACTAGGAATAAAAATAGGTCAGTGACTATAATGAATGATTATGCTTTACGATCCTCAAATGAACTCTGTAGCAAGGAGGACAACAGAGAAGACCAGCGCTGTGTTTGACCCAGTCTCTGCTACTGATAGGGTACTGAGCTAGTGGTCCAATCGCAACGGCAAAGACGAAACGAGCTATGAACTTCAACCTCATACTGGGCCTGCGGTCATTTTTGATGAGCGCCCCTTGCACCCTAAATTGGGAGTGCCTCCGCACGTTGCTACCAGGGTATTGTAGCAGATACCTGAGCGCAGCCGATGCACCAGCACACGCCATCAGTATGGCAAGGACTGCTGCAGAGTGAAGTTTTGATGGAAACCTATATGGTCCGGCCGACCATGAGCGGAGAAGCACGCCTGACCATCTGGGGAAATCCATTCTGGGACGGCAAAAGCAGAGCCTTCCCTAATCGGTCACCAGTGGAAATGAGTCATGAGTCCACTGCGACAACAACATGCGGCACGTCTGATGGCTGCCTCGCAGCCAGGAAGCACCAGCTCAACCAAAGCCCGAACTCCGTTTTCTGAGAATATCGCTCTCGTTTTTTGGATTCGCTAGGTGGCCTGGTTTGGGAACCACTTCAATGTATGAAGACAAGCATTGCTAAAGTCAGCGCGGAATAGCCCTCTAGGCTGGCTTCGGGGTTGCGAGGGAATCGTCAGAAACGTCTCAGATTCTCCTTTCTCCGAATGTACGCCAGACCTCACATTGCAATGCCAACTCACCACGTTCTGAGGGAGATAGCCAGGGCCACGATACCTCATCCACCATATAGCATTGGCATCGCTCTATCGGACTATCGCCTCCCCTGCGCCCTGAATAAGCATCTGCCAGAGAAGAAAGTTAAAGATTGCGGTCACCCCAAAAACGACTTCTCCAAATTCTTCAACCCCCAGTTTCCTTCATTCTGGGCTGGAAAGCTTCCAAACGCCCACTAGCAAATGCACGCATATCAGTGACCATGATGGTGTGTTATGTTATTGATCAGTTGTTTCCTAGAAGAGATAAAACTTGAATAAACAAAAGTGTCGAAATTGCGACAGGAATTATGAGACAACCCCAATAACTTCTTTTTCTATTGAAGACCTTTTCGGTGGACTGCAGCTAAAGAACAGGATTTTATAAAATAAATTCCTCTACTCCATCCATTCCTTTGCAAAAATTCAACCTCAACAAAGGCGACCGCCCACTTGAATTGTGAGTATGTACGACCACGATCTGAAAGCAAAACACTTTCCTCCTTGACGGAAATTTACCAACGGTTATGGTTGCCGCCTCTCAGCTGGCTTCCGGCAGGAGAACTTGCTCCGCGTCGGCCATGAAATAGCAGGAGACGTAGACAGCGGTCAGCGGACATGTCGTAGCACGTTACTGTAGCGACTTTTAACCGTCAACTTAAGTCGTACAGGTGTGCCCTATTTAGTATCGTCCCACAGTGCGTTGTTACTCGTCCGCCGACCAGCGTTCGGCGTCTCTGGCCTTTCTTCGCCGCACAGGGGGCCCCTTGTCGGATTACCTCCTCTGAGCTCAGGAAGGTTGACGGATTGCCTGCGCAAAGCGACCCTCCACCATGGAAGACTTCAAGGTTAGCTCCGCTTTCAGTCATCGTTTTCACTGCCTCAACTTTACATAAAAAATTAACTGTGCCTTACATGAAAATAATCATGAAAAAGATCATGAAAAAGCAATGAGTACTCCAGGCAGTTGATCTTGAGGAAAAGAAAATCTTATTGGTGCTTGAATTATTGGCGATATCTCATAGATATATCCAGAGCTTTTAGGTAGTTCTACAATGCAAAGTTGATATATTTGAGCGCATTTCCATTGCCGGGTGATCGTTCTTCACCGCCGTATTGCTAATTGTTAACAGGGACAACCACAGTCGCGAAGTTCCCCACAGGACGTCCAATTTTTCGAGGGGGGAAGAAAGAGGTCGTACTTAAGATCTTGGGCAGGGGTTACTCATATTTCGTAAGAATTGTTGAGAACAATAGGAATGTGGGGGTAAAAGAATTGCTATGGAAAGGCATATTTCAGAGAATTCAGGAACGAAAATTGGAGTGTGGCCAGTAGAATCTACCCCAACGACCCTCATGAACATTATTCACCAAGAAGGACGGGAAAGCTGAGGGACGGCTGGAGGAGGGAACTGTTTATCATAAAGGGAGGGGGAGGGGCCAAAATTTCCTAGCTACATAGCTCTTCTGATTGCGGTCACGGCGAGCGGACATAGACTATTCACATAATTAAACTAATGGTGGGACAACAGTAGTATCATCCTTTCATTAGCGATGCATTGGCTTGAGATGAAACGCTGTGGCCAACGACACAGCGCGCACTGAGGAGATGCACACCCTTCTCGAATTTACCCCATTCGATACTTACCAAGGAGGGACAAACAACCCCCCCCATATAAAAAATCTCCCAGCCGCCGTCGGCTCTACTCCTACTGATACCGCAAAACTGTCGAGATACTATGGTAATTTTTGGAGTTTGTTTGGACGTACCCAAAGGTGGATACGTCCAATTTTCGGTGAGTTAGAGCAACTTTTCTAAAAGCTGAGCTCATTTTTTGCATTTTTCGAGAGGGAAGAAAAAATTTGCCAAACAAATGTATCCCCATGAGCGAATGTCATACTGTGTTACCAGCGTTATCATTTGATCATAACAGGCTTCACTGGCTTAGGCCAATTATATTCGGTACCATTATGACTTATGGAATCTTTCAAACCATGAAAAATATTGTCAGAAACATACACGCAACAGTAACCGGATGGTTAAAGAGGCTACTGTAGGCGAGATCGGCGCGATTCTCCAGACGTCGCTTTTCGTTGGCTAGCTGTTGGTTCAAATCCGAGCGAAAAGCCAGCTGGCCGGCAGGACTGCCGCTCGACAACCGTCGGAGCCGTGTTTCTTCTGGAGCGTCGTTAGGAGCTGAAGCAGCTGTACGAGTGCTACGTGTTACGGTAGTTAGTGGAGTGCTGGTTACAGTGGGAGGTGCAGAGGTGGCGGTGGCAGCTGCATTGGAAGTGCTAGCGAAAGTGAAATGAACACGTGGTTGCTTTGAAATGATCCTTCTTGTCATAACAGTGGCAGTGACTCGAAGCTGAAACCAAGGTACAGTTGAACTTTTCTTGAGATTAAGCGGTAAGCTAAATGTGGCTTGATGAGGGTAGACCACAGTAAATGAATCACTATTAGCTCTAGGAGGTGTCAGCGGAGCATCGGCAGCGAAGAGAGACATACTAGACATGGGGTAGGTAGTTATCCCCTTGCTTGACGTTGTCATTTCAAGAGCTCGCTTTTGCGTCTCCTGCGGGACCGGCGGCGGCGGTGTTTCAATCCTGTGAGCACAAGCACGTTGACATTCCTGAATAGAACGGTATTAGGAAGTTAGAGTTCAGTTATCAGATTTTTAAGTGAGTTCTAACAGACCCCAGCGCACAACACCAGGCGCGTTGGCCCATTTCGATCAATTTTTTAGACAGCGTCATCCGCGTGGCTCAATGGTGCGCCACGTAGGAGTTAAGGCTTCGCCATCTGCTGCAAACTGTTGCAGTTTTGTTCGCACGCACCCGTCCAGAATGCGAGTGTCTGGGTCTCTCTCACCGCTGTGCTCTTCTGTCCAATCTCTCCATCCTGTGCACAGTGTCTCTTCGTCGCAGCACATACTATCCACCCCGCGAGAAAAGGCCCTAACTTTCAGGGTTTTTGGTGGTTTCTTTAGCTGTCTTGTTGAAAGACGGTCCTCACAGTACTCCAGTCTCGGGAATAATATCAGCCTAATACCCATCTCGAAAAAAAAATACACATATTTGGTCGTGGTAAGTGCCTTTAAGTCACTACCGTCGCGCGTACGCTAATAAAATAGCTACCGCGCAGTTCAATTGAGGCGGATACTTTGGCTATCTTCGCTCGTCAATTCCACCTAATCTCGCTAGTCGACAAAACCAGCATCTACCTCATATTAACCTACTGATGCGTGTCAATCGCGGCTAGCACAAAGTTTGGGGGTCAGCGCAGCATATCTGTACCGCATGACAGCACACCAGACTATAGGTGAACGGCGGCATTCGGACATGAGCACGCGTGTTCCGCTTGTAGGCACCCAGAATCTCATTTTTGACCTAACGTCCAGCATATTCACATTTGAGAGCTGTTATGCGCAATTTTTGAAAATTTACGGGATAAAACACCAACATGTGGCCTGCAAACCCTTTTGTGAACCCCGCTGCAGTAACAGTTTCCGTATTTTTTTTAACCTTGAAAATATTTTCATCACTTACTGCCATGCTGCTCCAGAGATTCTTGTTCTGGGTCACGCATCCTCCCCACCAGATACGTTTGCAACCGTTTTTATTCGGCTCAAAATACGCACGGATGATCCAGTTGTCATCGTCACAGTCCTAAATATACAAGCCAATGGTTGATTAAATAGAACAGCAGTGAAAAAAGGACTAAGATTGGTAGACCATGCTACTCCTTTTGAGTAAGGTATTTCTTCATAAAGGGACATAGAAAAAATATGGTTTTTTAAAAGCCAAACTGTCGAGGAAAATTTGAACAAACTGAATGTTGCCATTGCTATACCCTTAAAGGCACACCCTACGATTAGGTAAGCTTGATGTTATGAATGTGGTGAAAAGAAGCCCCCGGACGAAAGAATATGAGGAATCGGTTCTAAAGATGCCCTGAAAGCAGCTATATTTGGGGGCCAAGTGCTGGTCGATCCTTGCTGGTCGGACATCCCTGCTCTGGAGGCTGGGTGGGGTAAGCGATAGCATGGCCCCAGCTATCCCAGGCATTGAACCGGTGGTTAAGTAATCTCGTCAGGGCACGCCCTTTCCCATCCCAAGAAGGAGTGCTGTTAGTGTAGAAGGCAATCTTATTCCGTGGTATATAAGCGGCGGTTTTTGCTCTTCTTTTTCAATTCAAGTTCAATTTGCATCCCTGCTTTCTTATGGTGCGCATTTAGCTCACCAAATTGGTCGTGAGACGTGCCTCTAAAGGCAAAGTTCGGGATTTCTGGACGAAATGCGTCTATTGTGCAAGAAACATGGACGGAACCCAGCGCAGAGAGTGTACCCTCTAGTCACAACTGGGTAGCCGAGGCCCGTCGCGCGGCAAGAAGGCAGAGTCAGCGGACGAGTCGCAGCGCGTACTGTAGGGATTTCGCGTCAAGTTAAATAGAATGTACCATTGCACGTCCTACATCGCACATCACGCGCTGCGACTCGTCCGCGACTCTGCCTTCTTGCCGCGCGACGGGCCTCCTGGGGGTACCCAGTCACGACTCAACAACGCTGAGGCTCTAGGGGCACGGAATCATACATGCTCCGCCCACCG